GACCTGAAATCGAATCCCACGGTATGGGACCATGTATAATGCTGTATACCAAATATCAAGAGGCTGTCATACGTAGTTGTTGAGAAAACTGTTACGAAATTTTTTTCCCCGCCCGCCAGCCGCCCACCGCCCGCTGATTATACAGTATCTCATACATGTTATTTCATAAAAAGGACGTCAAGCTTGCTCTGCCTGAGACAAGTGTTTTTAGACTGAGATATCATCAAATAATATTACTTAACTTTTGATTGAAATTATTTTCAGAGAAACTATCAGAGCAGAATTCAAGCCGCAGACTTTACCACCAGACCTGCTTGTTGAATCCTTGAAAACAAGCCATTTGAGCAATAGGGAAAGTGGGCATGCATGGCGAACATGGCTAGCATGTAACATAAAGAAACTAGAACTATCGCTGAATGCGATTCATACCCCCACCAATGTCCTTGACAGAAGACAACTTGGAAAGGTGGTTAAGGGAATAACTTAAGTGGCACAAATACATAAAAAGAAATTATCTCTGGTGAAAAAAAGACTAATTGTACAGGTAATAGTAAAAATATCTATTATCAAATCATGTTCGAAACAGTTACAAATAACCTTTCATTTTCCCAATATACTAAACTTTTTATAAGTCAATTTTTGACCTTCAAGTGTGGCCTTGACCTTCAGCTGGCACAAGGGTAAGATGGATTCTGCACATCGCCCAATTGGAGTGAACATTTGAGTAAAGTTTGAAGAAAATCCTTCCATTAGTATAGAATTTATAGAGCGGACACAACATATTGTCTAGTATTGATTGTATGTAAATTTAAAGACTTAAAAAGGGGCATAACTTTGTCAAAATCCAATACAGAGTTATGAAACTTGACCTGCATATTGTAATTGTGACACCTCATATATCTTTTAAGTTTCAAGCAAATACCTATGCTAGTTTCCGAAATATTCAAGAACATGTTTTAATCTAAGAACATTTTCTAAGTCAATTTTTGACCTTCAAGTCTGACCTTGACTTTAGTCTGCACAAAGGTGACATAGATTCTGCACATAACCTTGTTTAGGTGAACATTTGAGAAAAGTTTGAAGAAAATTCTTCCATTAGTATAGGATTTATAGAGCTGACACAACATATTGTCTAATATGTGATTGTATGTAAATTTGAAGATTAAAAAGGGGCATAACTTTGTTAAAATGCAATACAGAGTTATGAAACTTGACCAGCATATCTTAATTGTGACACTTCATTTATATTTTAAGTTTCAAGCAAATACCTTTCCTAGATTCAGAAATATTCAGATATATGTTAAAATTAAAGAACATTTTCTAAGTCAATTTTTGACCTTCAAGTGTGACCTTGACCTGAAGCCGGCAAAAGAGTGACATGGGTTCTGCACATAACCTTGTTGAGGTGAACATTTGAGCCAAGTTTGAAGAAAATCTTTCCATAAGTGTAGGACTTACAGAGCGGACACGACATACTGTGTAATATTTAGTTGTTTGATATTTGACCTTCAACTGTGACCTTGACCTTGAGCTGACACATGAGCAACATGGGTTCTGCACATCCCATTGTTGAAATGAACATTTGAGCCAAGTTTGAAGAAAATCTTTCAATTAGTGTAGGACTTACAGAGCGGACATGACATATTGTGTAATATTTGATTATTTGATATTTGACCTTCAATCGTGGCCTTGACCTTAAAATGACACATGGGCAACATGGGTTCTGCACTCCCCCTTGTTGAGGTGAACATTTGAGCCAAGTTTGAAGAAAATCTTTCAATTATTGTAGGACTTAAAGAGCGGACACGACATACTGTCTAATATTTGATTGTGTTTGATATTTGACCTTCAATTGTGACCTTGACCTTGAGCTGACACATGGGCAACATGGGTTCTGCACATCCCCTTGCTGAGGTGAACATTTTAGCCAAGTTTGAAGAAAATCTTTCAATTATTGTAGGACCTACAGAGCGGACACGACATACTGTCTAATATATGATTGTGTTTGATATTTGACCTTCAATTGTGACCTTGACCTTGAGCTGACACATGGGCAACATGGGTTCTGCACATCCCCTTGCTGAGGTGAACATTTGAGCCAAGTTTGAAGAAAATCCTTCAAGTGGTATAGGAGTTATAGAGCGGACACGAAAATGGAGACGGACGGACCGACCGACCGACTGACCGACCGACCGACGCGACAAAGCGAATCCATTATAGCCCCCCCCACATTTTGTGGTGGGGGTATAATAAACTCAAGAATACACTGCTGTATCACATAAAAATGCAGTCTTTTATAAGTCCATTTATAAGTCACTATAAAGTATATGTAGAAATAGTCCTCAATTCATATGTAACAGGGTGAAAATATTGTGAATTCAAGTTGAAATATCTACAAGACAATTCATCTCGGACATTCAATCTAACGGTCATTTGTCTTTATTGATAAAGACATCATGTTGGGCTAGTTACAAGTTAGTCACTTGCGGAGATATTGGTAATTACTGGTTAGTTATCCAGGAAAGTTTTATTGGACCGACTGTTGAGATATGATGAACAAAGTGTCATAAGGTGTAAAAACCACATAATCGAAAAAGAAAATTAAAACGTTATACTTTTGATTTTTTAAATGATGCAAACATTATATTGTCATTAAGAGTGAATGTTTAATGTCTGGACATGTGCACTGTATGACTTTTAATTTCAACAAAATTAATGTCGAAACATTCATCCAGTTAAGAAGTATGAAACTATAAAACAATATCATCCAAGCAATATGTAATAAATCAACTCAATGTGAACATACCTTCATCTTTCAAAATGCAGAGCCGGTAACCATCCCCTAGTTTAGACTTAAGGTAAGATGGGGTACCAGCACATTTCAGTTTGTCGTCTGCTATAATTAGAATCCTATCCCCCAAAGTCTCTGCCTTGTCCATATGGTGTGTGGACACCATAATTGTCCTTCCTTAAAGATGAAAGTTAAATATCAGCTTGTTTTATGCTAGCAACACTAGTAATTTGCCTAAATCAAAACCAGTCTGCACTTTTATGCATTATGCAAGCATGTAAAAACAAGCATATATAAAACACTATATCATGTGATCCCTATTTATTTTTCCCTTTTATAATGAAGAACAAAACTGAGGGTTACTGGTTCGTCAATTTAATTTGTAGTAAACACTATAATTCCAGGATACATCATGCCAATTGTGGATCACTATACCTCTGTCACTCACATTGTGATATTAGCTCTGTACTGCAATTACAATTTCTCAATCCAAATGCTTAATAATTATCAGATTATTTTAAGTACAACACATAGGTCTACTTCATCTACATGGTACAATGACCAACAACTTCTATAACACAAAGAAAGACCTCAGGTGACCTTAACTTTAGGAGGGAAACATTATGAGCAGATAACAGAGGGACCTAATTACATAAAGTTAAGAGTAAAAATCAAACAAGGTTGACAGAGTTGTCTTTCTTGGAAAATAACAAATTAACCTTAAAAATAGCACTTGGTTACAATCCTTTATTACATGCTTTTCGGTGGTTATAGATGTACTGAATGGCGAACAGTGCAGCCCATGAAGAAACAGCATGGATGTATTGGTAAAATATGTCAACCAAAAGACCATTACTATAGTAAGTAAAGGAGCTGATACGTGAACCTGAGACCCATTGATAAGCAGTGCATAACGTAACCAATTGACCACAGATTTTTTCTACAATAAGTTGAATGTTGAGGCAGAATATGTTACAGGTTACTGCAGAGTTTTACAACAAACCTGAATGAAATCCCATCTCACCATTATCAAAGTTTCCTCAACAATGAAAATGTAAGCTCATCCTATTGTTACAATAAAAATTACTTGATTAAACATTAACACCAAATTTGTGTTGTTTATATCTACATCATAGAAAAAATTCAAATGTTAATTCAACATATCTATTAAAATTGGGAAAATAATTACAATTTACATAGAGAAAAACAGAATCCCTAAAAAAAGCCCAACACTACAAAAATGAAAATGTTACAGGCTCTGTTTGATTGGGCCTGTTCATGGATGGTACTGGAATGTTTACGCCCCCTAGCACTGACTTAACCAGAATTCAACATTAAAACACAAAATGGTGGAAGTTTTGAATTTAGAAACATTTCCAGATGTGTTCATATAAAACAACTCTGGTTCTGCTTAAAATATATAACAAACAAATAATCTAACTTTAACTTATTGTGTACAATGGTGTTAACTGTATATAGTTATACTAACATAGTTGTTGTTTTTCCAGCACCATTATGACCGAGGAACGAGGTGATCTGGTTCTTATACAACTTCATAGACAGACTGTCTAATGCTGGTTTATCTCCCTTCCTGTATACCTAGCAAATTAAAATAATTACATTATACATATTTATCAATATTCAATATCAAAATATAAAGGGAGATAAAAGATAATTTAGCAAAAAATGCTCTTCAGAAATATCTGCCCATTCCAAATTATTTAGTGAACAGGTATCAAAAAAATTCTAAGTTATAAAAGGGACATAAATTTGTACATTATAACTTTAGTATTATCTGTCCTTGTGTATCTCATGATGATAATGTACAGTAAAAACCCTCAATTAAGACCACCAACGGGACTGGACCAAAGTGGTCTTAATTGTTGGGCGGTCTTAATTGCAGGGTGGTCTTAATTGTGGATATTCTTATCAGTGCTTACACATGTTATGACCACAGCCTATTTTGTTATCACTTCAATATATACATTATAAATAAACATTAAAACAAATTCTTTTCATTTTATTTAAAAGTTTGTGTGAAATTTGATTAATTTGAGCACCTGAGCATGTGAAAAAAGATGGGGGGGGGCTTTTGTCCTACCTGTATTTTTGATGAGGGGGGCTTTTGTCCTATGTGCAAATTTCATGGGGAAGGGGGGGGCTTTTGTCCACTTTGTCATTTTTAGATGGGGGGGGGGGGGGGGGCTTTTGTCCTACACTCTATTTCTTCACAAAATAAATGTGCTTAAAGCAACATTAAACCACTCTAAAATTTACTTTCTCACCTTATTTCATACAATAACCCAATAACAACAGTTTTTGACACCTTGTGAAATCAAGTGTCATGCCTAAGAGCATTCAAGCAGATAACAACAGAACAACATATTTAAGATCTAGGAAGGTGTTGATTTTAATATCAGTGTTCTCAATAGTGAGGTCAAATAAAGAACAAAACAAGAATTGGGACTGAATTTGGAGGTCTTAAAAGTGTATAAGCCAGGTGGTCTTAATTCTGTTCTTTTAAAAACTGGTCTCAAAAGCGGGTTGGTCTTTATTCTGAGGTGGTCTTAAGCAGGGATTCTACTGTATAAGTAAATTAGTTTAAAGCTTTGGTAGTTTCTGAGAAAATGGACCTTAACATATTAAAGGTCACAATGACTTTAACCTTTGACTTTTTGACCACATAATGAGTGTGACAGGTTTAAACCATCAAGGTTAATCCACATATTATGAAGCTTATAGTATTGAAATAAATGACTAACTATATGGAAAGTTAACAAAGGCCAACAATCTGATCATGACAAAACCTCTTAAAATATCAGTCTTGACATACCAATGCAATATATTTAAATCTTGACATATGGATGTATTAATCTTGATAGGATATATGATTCATACTAACCTTTCTCAAGTTGTTCACAACTTCTCCTCTTGTCAAGTCTCGCAGGTCCGGTTTAATATATAGTGTACAGATACAGTCTGTGTTACACCCACACCAATATATACCTGAAAATATTTATTATATGTTGTCCGACAAGATGAAACTGTCCTGTATTCATATTGTTCAGCATAGACAGATTTCTCATGAAATTTGACATTATATCCTTTAAAGCCTTAAAATGATTATTTATGGTAAAATTAAGATGATGATATTGAAACACAGCCCTGTTTCCACAGTAAAGGATTCATGTTATCACTAAACATTGATTTGTTTTACTATAGGTAATATCTATATCAATACCTAAAATAATGGAAGGGGAAATAACTCCAAATCAGATATACCTGAGTCATCATCAACAGTGACATCATCATTTTCCGGATCATCATTGACGAGGTAGTAACGACGTCTGCTACGATTAATTCCGAACAGACGTTTAAGACAACATGTTTCCCAAAGTGATGTTCCACACCAGTAAGAGCTTGTGAATGGAAAATACCATGGCTTTGGTATACCATAAGATCCTAAAATAATAATAAAGAGTGCCATGATGGCCTAAATATACCATATGTTCCTGAAATAATGAAAAATGCCATGGCCTAAATATACCATAAGATTCTGAAATAATGAAAAATGCCATGGCCTAAATATACCATAAGATCCTGAAATAATAATAAAGGGTGCCATGGCCTAAATATACCATATGTTCCTGAAATAATGAAAAATGCCATGGCCTTAATATACCATAGTTCCTGGTGTAATGGAAATCACTATAGCTTTGATATACAAAGATAATAACATGGCTCTTGTATACCATTAGTTTCTTAAATGATAGAAAATACAATAAGTTTCTAAAATGATAGAATATACAAAGGCTTTGTATACTGGAAGTTCATTAAATAATGAAACAATACCATGGCTATGGTAGACAGTTATTACTATGTTTCTGAAATAAAGAATGAGACTCATTTGATATATAAGTTGAAACTAAGTTAATGGCATTTTCGATGTAAACAGTAGAAAATCCAGGATGATTTGCAAGAAAAATGGTTAATTACATTAACTGGTTAGTTCTGAATAGAATAAAAGACTAAGTTCTAATTTAATTTTACCTGGATGTACATTCTCTATATACCAGGCCAGTATAAAGTAAACAATTGTGTCCACTGCTATCATTATCTTCACAATCTGTAGACTTAAATTATCATGTTCCCGTGGCGACACATGCAGGTTCTCCCATTGTAAGCTTGATCCCTCTAACTCATAAAACAGGAAATATTTCCCGCCTACACCCAGAGCTGATGTTGGAAATATTGCCTGAAAAATAAGTTTTTATTATCGAGATTATAAAAAAAATACAATGTATTCTGTTTCATTAATTTCTTATTTTTAAGACAAAATATCCCTCAGAAATATTTTTATTTTTATGTCACAAAAGTATTTTTAGTTTTGGTGTTCTGTTGTATTTTACAGACAGTTTATAACTCATCTACATTTCATAACTGAACCATATTTTGGTTGTATTGCCTTCTGTGAATTAGAATCATTATAGTGACTTAGTATTTTGCTTTACTCAGAATTTATTAAAGTTTGATTGTGTATGACGCTATAAGCTTATAATAGACATACTTTTCAAATCTGCTCCTGGAAACAACCGGTACTGAGGTAAATGTGTCTAAAATGTCCTGCTCAAGGCAGCAATGTCTAATGCCCTTGACAAATTTTACGATTGTTATCATCTTTAAATTCTACACTTAACTTTTTAGTGGATCACTTGGTTACAGCAGGGTAAGGGCCAACATGTATTGGTTCATGAAGTTTTATGTCAGATACTTACAGTAATAGTTTAAATGTATGCCGGTATCCTGGCCGCGTTAAATCCTCTCTGATGGCTATATACATGTATGGTAGGTATATTATGAAGTAAAATATACCCGCACAATTGCTGCAGCAAGTTTAGCCCGTGAGAACATACTGTCAATTAAAAACCTGAAATACAACAGAAAACAAGAAAACAATTAAGATGCTTTTTACTCAATTCGGGCTTCAATAACACCAATTATTGATCTTCAATATATTGAATTTCGGGTATATTTTTTATTGTTTACACTATATTATATGTTATTTTAGTTTTGGAGTGATATATGTGGATATATTACCTGTTAAGAGCTGTTAGGCGAGGGTGATATTTTATCTTGGCAGGTAATATATCCACATATATCACTCCAAAACTAAAATAATAATTTTATTACCCTTCCCCTGCCGGGTTAAGACAATTTTGATATAAATCATTGCTACTTCTTATGAAACGTCGAAATAAGATTCCCTTTAGGGTCCCCTTCACCACAACATGATGTCACATAAATACATGACGTATGTTCTTTCGAACCTAACGAAAGTAAACAAGAGAAAAGGAGTAGTCTGTTGAAAGCACTTTTTTGAATTAATATCAAGCTTTCACAAGGTCATATTTGTTTTCAATACTGATGAGAATATGTATCATTACTCTATTTTGGTAAATATTTATCATTTGACAGTTAAAAAGTGCTTGTAAATCGGAATTTACATCGCGTAAAATCAAACCGTACGGGCAGCGCCACAGTGCATTTTGTTTACAACGTGGGGTACCCAATGGGAAATTTATTGTGTATATTACCCGTCTGGCTCGGTAATATCAATTTCTTTCGGGTGACCAATATCCAATCAAAAAGGAGGAAAAAATCTGAAAGGGTAATAAAAGATTTTTAAATATCACGTTTTCAGGCTTTACGACCAAAGTCTAGTTCCTTTAAGTGATATACTTACGAAAAAGCAATAGAAGACAGGGCAAACATTTCCAGGAACATAAACACTATGACTGGATTACTATGTGATAGTACACTTCCATAGTATAACATCAACGTCAGCGTTACCACGGTAACAGTCATCTGTACTGCGGCAGTTATAAACCACGCCCACCAGTGTACACTGTCTGATAAGCCCATCATCTTCATTACCTGTAACTCTGAATAAGTTTTATAATATACTTGTGGAATACAAAACTAATGAGTGAAATATAACCTATACCGTTTATCATATATATCATTAACCCTATATCACTCATTTCTGAAACAAGAGGCCCATAGGGCCCTGGATCGCTCACCTGACAAATAGGTCAAACGGTCAAAGTGGAGCCCCTTTTCACCCCAGAAGCTCAATTTGAAAACAAGGAACACCATAATCTGAACATTTTTTGTACACTGACACCAGGAAAATTTTGGTGTAAAATTATTTTAAAATTGAACCAGTGGCTGAGATGTTGTTTAGTTCTTGTTTTCTAATTTTAGCTCTGGCAACCATTTTATCAAACAGTTCAGTCTGTAGGCTGTGAAAGGTGAGCTAATAAAAAGATGACAGAAAAAAAGAAGGAAAACAAACATTTGACATGCCTGGGGATTGAACTGTCGACCTTAATCCCTTGAGGTGGGGTCAATTATCACCTTAGGGGTTTTATTTCAACAAACATGGTAGAAATGCACTAAAACGTGTTTCATGCCAAATATCAAAATTTTTTCAGTTTTTACTATACACATAAGAGAAAAATCAATGACCCTTTGGGCCGGGCTTATTTTGACCCTAGGACTTTTATAAGCCCAAAGTTGGCAGACATCTATTAGAAGATGTTTTATGCCAAATATCAACGCTGTTGCTCTTTTGGATTTTTACTAGAAGATTTTTTTTTTTTAATTTTTACTATACACATGTATATATAAGGAAAATCAATGACCCTCTGGGGTGGGGCCAATTTTGACCCTAGAGCTTTTATTTGAATAAACATGGTAGACATCCATTAGAAGATGTTTCTTGCCAAATATCTAAGCTGTAGCTCTTTTGGATTTTCACGAGAAGATTTTTTAGTGTTTAGTTTATACATATAAGGAAAATCAATGACCCCTGGGGCCGGGCCAATTTTGACCCTGGGCATTAATTTGAAGAAATTTGGTAGACATCCACTAGATGATGTTTCATGTCAATTATCTTATCTATAGTGCTTTTGGATTGTCACAAGGAGATTGTTTAAGTTTTAACTATATACATATAAGGAAAATCAATGGCACCCTGGGGTGGGGCCAATTTTGACCCTGGGCATTAATTTGAAGAAATTTGGTAGACATCCACTAGATGATGTTTCATGTCAATTATCTAATCTATAGTGCTTTTGGATTGTCACAAGGAGATTGTTTAAGTTTTAACTATATACATATAAGGAAAATCAATGGCCCCCTGGGGTGGGGTCAATTTTGACCCTGGGCATTAATTTGAAGAAATTTGGTAGACATCCACTAGAATGATGTTTCATGTCAATTATCTTATCTATAGTGCTTTTGGATTGTCACAAGGAGATTGTTTAAGTTTTAACTATATACATATAAGGAAAATCAATGGCCCCCTGGGGTGGGGTCAATTTTGACCCTGGGCATTAATTTGAAGAAATTTGGTAGACATCCACTAGAATGATGTTTCATGTCAATTATCTTATCTATAGTGCTTTTGGATTGTCACAAGGAGATTGTTTAAGTTTTAACTATAAACATATAAGGAAAATCAATGGCCCCCTGGGGTGGGGTCAATTTTGACCCTGGGCATTAATTTGAAGAAATTTGGTAGACATCCACTAGAATGATGTTTCATGTCAATTATCTTATCTATAGTGCTTTTGGATTGTCACAAGGAGATTGTTTAAGTTTTAACTATATACATATAAGGAAAATCAATGGCCCCCTGGGGTGGGTCAATTTTGACCCTGGGCATTAATTTGAAGAAATTTGGTAGACATCCACTAGAATGATGTTTCATGTCAATTATCTTATCTATATAGTGCTTTTGGATTGTCACAAGGAGATTGTTTAAGTTTTAACTATATACATATAAGGAAAATCAATGGCCCCCTGGGTGGGGTCAATTTTGACCCTGGGCATTAATTTGAAGAAATTTGGTAGACATCCACTAGAATGATGTTTTCATGTCAATTATCTTATCTATAGTGCTTTTGGATTGTCACAAGGAGATTGTTTAAGTTTTAACTATAAACATATAAGGAAAATCAATGGCCCCCTGGGGTGGGGTCAATTTTGACCCTGGGCATTAATTTGAAGAAATTTGGTAGACATCCACTAGAATGATGTTTTCATGTCAATTATCTTATCTATAGTGCTTTTGGATTGTCACAAGGAGATTGTTTAAGTTTTAACTATAAACATATAAGGAAAATCAATGGCCCCCTGGGGTGGGGTCAATTTTGACCCTGGGCATTAATTTGAAGAAATTTGGTAGACATCCACTAGAATGATGTTTCATGTCAATTATCTTATCTATAGTGCTTTTGGATTGTCACAAGGAGATTGTTTAAGTTTTAACTATAAACATATAAGGAAAATCAATGGCCCCCTGGGGTGGGGTCAATTTTGACCCTGGGCATTAATTTGAAGAAATTTGGTAGACATCCACTAGAATGATGTTTCATGTCAATTATCTTATCTATAGTGCTTTTGGATTGTCACAAGGAGATTGTTTAAGTTTTAACTATAAACATATAAGGAAAATCAATGGCCCCCTGGGATGGGGTCAATTTTGACCCTATGTTTTTATGTGAACAAACTTGGTATACATCCACTATGTTTCATGTCAAATATTTAAGCTGTAACTCTTTCATTTTTTACAATAAGATTTTTTAAGATTTATTGTAAAAATAATCTTTTGTTTGCCACGACAACCAGAGTTTTTGATGGATCCAATTCTTTCAGCAACTTTGGTAGAGCTTCATGCAAGGAACATCCATGCAAAGTTTCAACCAATTTGGCCAAGTGGTTTAGGAGGAGAGGTTGTTCAAAGAAATTGTTGATGCACACACGTGCGATGGACGCACGGACGGATGCACAGACGGACAGTCGATGGACGACGTATAATGGGCCATCATTGAGGACATTGTCCTCAGGTGAGCTAATTAAAAGCAAGTTCAGTTTTCTTGTTTATAGAATATTCTGCTTTAGTGTGACATTTTAAATAAACAAGTATACTATAATAAATATACGTTCATAAATGCTTGTAAAATATTTTATGGAAACCAAAAAAAAAAAAACATTTTAAGGGATATTTAACAAGCAATATCAGGAGTGCCAAAGAAAGTCATTTAAAGACAAAAGAAATGCAAAATATAAAAGAGGTAAAATATGTTAACAAACATTTTCAAACCTCTTAATCTTTTCTCCTTTTCATAGACAATTTTCTGTACGAGCATAGCAACTGAATACACCCATGACAGCATTAAACATAGCAGTATAATATGTTGTATTCTTCAGATAAATCTGAAATCAAACATTTAATGTCATATAGAGGATATTTGTTGTTTTGCATGTAAGATTGAAATATATTTCACTGAGCGAACACCAGATGCAATATTTACACGAGTGAAAATAGAATAGCTGGTGTTCACGAAGGAAATACATTTCAATCTTATATGAAAAACAAATAAATATTCTTTTTATTTCATGCTTTTTGAGTGATTTTAAGTATTTTTTACTGATTTTGCCGCGTAACGTCTTGCATTCTCCTTTATGACGTCATCACATTATGATGTCACATCATCAATTTTGAAATATAGTTCTGTTAAATTTCTCTAAATTTGTTACATTTTTGACATGATGTATGATGATATAAACTTTCTTTTCCTAAAGAAGCAAAATTTACATATGACAACATTAATTTTGCCTGTTATTTCATGTAGTTATATTCAATTCATCCACATTCAGATATAGTCCGGCTACAGTGAAAATTTTATTTTATAAATTTCACTAGTGGTTTAGTATGATTACAATCATCTGATATATTACAGTAAAAACACTGGACAGCATGAAATAAATAAGTTTGTTTAAATTTTATCAGGAGAGGTGACAAGAGCCTTAATTACAAAAAATTAATTAGGAGATAGCAAACCCTTAAAAAAATCAAGCATTACCAATGGAGGTGAAGTAATAAATGCCTTTATAACTTAAAGATAGCAACAATAACTTTTATCTCATTTATTTTTTGATTTAAAATCATTAAACTCTAAAGTATTGAGTATAGGGGTTTTATAAATCACTTTTAAAATTCAAATTAAGTTTTCATTTTTATTTTAAAAGGGAAAAGGGTTTAAGGGAAAAATCCCCAAAAACCAAAATTAAAACCATTTTAAAAAGAATAACCCCCTAAAGGTTTAAATGTAATTATTTAAAAAATTTTAAATTTAATTAATAACCTTTCCATTTGGACGTGGGGGACCGGGAAGATAACGGACGGGCCCGGCACCCTGCGCTTCCCCCAAAAATTTTTTCCCCGGTCGAGGAAAAGGGGAAAGAAACAGCCCGAGCCCCCACGGGGAGAGGGCAGCAAATGAACCATCGCTTATTTTAAAAGAATATCAAGGGAGACCCCAAACCCCGATCCCCCAGCCAACACGGATATGGCATTCTGTGAAGGAAAGTTCCTGGACTGGTTACCGGCTTTCCAACCTGTATCTCAATAATTGCTCTCTCTACCAGGTCCTATATGAATGAATGTTCCTGGTCTGGTTACCGGCTTTCCAACCTGTATCTCAATAATTGCTCTCTCTACCAGGTCCTGTATGAATGAAAGTTCCTGGACTGGTTACCGGCTTTCCAATCTGTATCTCAATAATTGCTCTCTCTACCAGGTCCTATATGAATGAATGTTCCTGGACTGGTTACCGGCTTTCCAACCTGTATCTCAATAATTGCTCTCTCTACCAGGTCCTATATGAATGAATGTTCCTGGACTGGTTACCGGCTTTCCAACCTGTATCTCAATAATTGCTCTCTCTACCAGGTCCTGTATGAATGAAAGTTCCTGGACTGGTTACCGGCTTCCCAACCTGTATCTCAATAATTGCTCTCTCTACCAGGTCCTGTATGAATGAAAGTTCCTGGACTGGTTACCGGCTTTCCAACCGGTATCTCAATAATTGCTCTCTCTACCAGGTCCTGTATGAATGTAAGTTCCTGGACTGGTTACCGGCTTTCCAACCTGTATCTCAATAATTGCTCTCTCTACCAGGTCCTGTATGAATGAAAGTTCCTGGACTGGTTACCGGCTTCCCAACCTGTATCTCAATAATTGCTCTCTCTACCCGGTCCTGTATGGATGAAAATTACTAAATATGAATTATGAATAATGCCTATCAGAAATTTAACAGTATTATGGTGCTTTTATTACATGCTTTTCGGTGGTTTATAGAAATATATCAGTGATATAAAACTTGTAATTTCACTGTTTTGAATTTAAGCCCCTAACGTTGTTTCAGTGAAATACCAGCGTACACAGAACTGGGTACCAACTAAATGATGTGACGTCCTAAATGACGTCACATTGTATTATTATTTGGCGCGCTTTTCATTCAGTATTAGATTTTATGTCTTTTTAAAACGTTTATTTGCATGTAATAAAAAGAAAATTTGTTTAGTTTAGTGTAAGATTGAAATATATTTCACCTTGTGAACACCAAAACTTCATATTTCACTTGTGGCTGCGCCACTCATGAAATATACCTTTTGGTGCTCACTCGGTGAAATATATTCCGATCTTACACTGAACTAAACAAATATCCTCTATATAATTGCTCCAAAATTGTGCACAAGCCAGCAGAGCTTTTGGTCTTGCTATAAATATTTCAAAGCAGTCAATTCTGACAGAAGTTTTCCTAGCAAAATGTTTGCGGAACTCAAGAGGCAGTGTGGTCTGCAGTTCTTCTCTTTCTGGCCAATATATGAAATGTTTCATTCTAACAAACATAATATGTATAACCAAAGTAAATATTCATGATGCTGTGGTCAGGATGAAGTCTTAAATCTATATGGCAAATCTTACAATGGGAAATTATGTTTCAGTCTCATAAGAGTGAGCAATGCCCTCTCAGATGCACCAAGACACATATTCTTTTTCATTTAAAGAAATGGTGACACAAAATCCATAACCACCATCAAAGTCAGAAAATACTGAAAGCCTGTATAATATTTTACTTTCTCATTATCTTCTTTGAAACTTCCTTGGTACATGTAGAATGAGTTCAGTTCTGATTTTAAAGCCTCATTCTCCGACAACACTCTCTGAATTTTCAGAATTAATTTTACTATCTAATTCATTTAATGTTTCTTGATCATTTTCCTTACATGGTTGTAAAGACTTCCCAGGGCCTTCTGTTTTCCCTTTCCAAGTAAATGTACAAGTCTCTGTTTCTACTTCATTGAATTCAAAAATTACTGATTCGCTGGACAATGTTAAGCTGTCAGTGTGTCACAATGTGTTGTAAATTTAAATTGAAATAAATGAACTCTAAATTACCTTTTACTATCCGTGTCAATCTTTTTTTTTTCTTCAACACTGATTTTGTAGGAGTCATAGCACCATCTAAATTTAGCGTAGGATCTGAGCAATGATACATAGATGCAGGTTTTCCTGAAAGTCAAATATTCAAACATTTAGTTTCAAAAATAACATGAGAAATAGGTTTTCATATGCATCTGGATCTATTATTTAATGTAAGACAGAATTGTTGATGTCGGAGATGACGGCACGTTGGGCCGACTGTTGTATGTACATTTCGCTCCAGATTTACCTGGACCTACTAAACACTGCTAAGGACTGCTAAGGACCGTTAAGGACTGCTAAGGAGCCACAAAGGACTACTAGGGAGGCACAAAGGACCTTAAAATACCTCCTAGGGCATTCTTATAATACATGGTAGTCCTTAGTGGTCTGGCAACTCATCAAAAACATAAATTCTATCACCAAAATTATAATTTTTCTGAAATAATATATTTTTTATCTATTAACTTACTACAATATATTATAACAAGAGGGCCATGATGGCCCTGAGGTCGCTCACCTGTATAAAGGCACCCGGAGTGGGGCCAGTTTAAACCCCAGGGCTTTTATTTGAACAAACTTAGAAGAAACTATGTTTCATGCTAAATATCTTAGCTCTAGCTCTTTGAGTTCTTAAAAAGAAGATTTTTTAAGTTTTTACTATATGCATATAGGGAAAATCAATGACCCCCTGGGGCGGGGCCAATTTTGACCCCAGGGCTTTGATTTGAACAAACTTGGTAGACACTCATTAGAAGATGTTTCATGCCAAATATCTAAGCTCTAGCTCTTAGGGTTTTTTAAAAGAAGATTTTTTAAGTTTTTCCTATTGGTTGCCATGGCAACCAGAGTTTTTTATGGAATTTAAATTTTTGAACAACTTTGAAAGGGGTCCACCTAAGGATTATTTCTGTAAAGTTTGGTTGCAATTGGCCATGTGGTTTAGAAGGAGATGTTGTTTGAAAAGTTTGACGCCATTTTTTGAAGGACGCACGGACACACGACGGACGCAGAGTGATGACAAAAGCTCACCCTTGAGTACTTTGTGCTCAGGTGAGCTAACAAGAGGGCCATGATGGCCCTGAGGTCGCTCAACTGTATATAGGCCCCTGGAGCAGGGCCAGTTAACCCCAGGGCTTTTATTTGAACAACCTTGAAAGACACCCATTAGAAGATGTTTCACGATGTTAAGTTTTAACGACACATATAATGAAAAACAATGATCTACCCTTTGCTCTTTCTCTTCCCGGCAGGACCAATTTTAACCCAAGGGCTTTTATTTGAACAAACTTGGTAGACATCCATAAAAAGATGTTTCATCCTAAACATCTAAGCTCTAGCTTATTGGGTTTTTTAAAAGAAGATTTTATAAGTTTTTACTATACATATATACTTAAAAACAATGACACCCCAGGGGCGGGGCCAATTTTGACCACAGGGCTTTTATTTGAACAAACTTGGTAGACACCCATTAGAACATGTTTCTTGCTAAATATCTTAGCTCTAGCTCTTTGAGTTCTATAAAAGAAGATTTTTTAAGTTTTTACTATATGCATATAGGGAAAATCAATGACCCCCTGGGGCGGGGCCAATTTTGACCCCAGGGCTTTTATTTGAACAAACTTGGTAGACACTCATTAAAAGATGTTTCATGCTAAACATCTAAGCTCTAGCTCTTTGGGTTTTTTAAAAGAAGATTTTATAAGTTTTTACTATATATATATAGTTAAAAACAATGACACCCCAGGGGCGGGGCCAATTTTGACCACAGGGCTTTTATTTGAACAAACTTGGTAGACACCCAGTAGAACATGTTTCTTGCTAAATATCTTAGCTCTAGCTCTTTGAGTTCTTTAAAAGAAGGTTTTTTAAGTTTTTACTATATGCATATAGGGAAAATCAATGACACCCTGGGCAATTTTGACCCCAGGGCTTTTATTT